CGGGGGGCCGGACTGGGCTGCACCTCCTCGCGCCCCCCTCCACCGCCCCAGCCCCAGCTTACCTGCTGCCTGTCTGCTTCAGAGGCGGGGAAGGAGCGGGGGGGGGGCGAAACATTTAGGGGAGGGGGCAGAGTTGGGGCGGGGCCGGGGCCCCGTGGAGTGTCCTCTTTTTGGACACTTAAAATATGGTAACCCTATTTTAGGGGGAAAAATACCAAAGAAACACACCACAGTAGCATTTAAGTACAAAAAGGGGAACTACACAAAAAAGAGGACACTAGTTACATGAAATTAAAAGGTAGAGTGACAAAAATGAAATGCCTGCAAGCTGCCTGGAAACTATTTAAAAACACCACAATAGAAGCTCAAATGATATAGATACCCCCAATACAAAACACTGTAAGAAGACCCAAAAACTGCTACCAGAGCTTAACAGCAGAATAAAAGAGGCAAAAAGGTATCCTTTAAAAATTGGAAATCAAATTCTGCTCATTCACTCTGGAGCATCTGGCACTGGCCACTGTCAGAGGACAGGATACTCCTAGATGGACCATTGGTCTGTCCCAATATGGCCATTCTTATGATCTTATGGCCTACTATGCAGCGTTGTTGTGTTGGTCCCACACTATTAGAGAGACAAGGTGGGTGAGGTGATATCTATTATTGGACCACCTTCTACTGGTGAGAGAGACAGGCTTTTGAGGTAACACAGAGCTCTTCTTCAGACGTTGGGCCAATAAAAGATATTACCTCACCCATTTTGTCTCACTTACGGCCTAGTGTCGCTTTCTGGTTCTCGTATACTAGACAATGCTGCAGTCTTTGGGTTGACATGTTTACACTGAAACTATGTGTCTTCATTGTAATAAAAAAAAAAATCAAGAAAACATTTCTAATGGATATTTTAACTCCTACATTCTGGGCCAAGACTATCTGACATGTTATCATTTTTATAATACAAGCATCTAGTTCAGTATTGGCTATGTTTTAGTGCCATTAAAATCAGTGAGAGGTATACAAATGATTTCAATGGGAACACGCTTTGGCTTGTTTATCTGGCACAGTTTCACAGTCTAAATGGGCCTGACTTTGCAAGGTGTGAAGCATCTCCATTGACTCCCACTGAAGATGAGGGCACTCAGCAAGATTCAGCCCTGTATGGACATGTGGGTTGTGATTCTGAGCTGTGGCCCCACCAGGAGCAGCACCGAACTCAGCCCAGGATGTAGGGAGAGGGCTAGGGTGACCTTAAGCCATTGGTGCCCTCCCAATCCTGGCCTGCTCCGCTCCATGACTCCCAGTGTAATTTAGACAGGGGGCCAGTGTCAGTTATGGCAGCTGCTCCAGCTGCCTAGCAGTTGCAGCTATCCCCAGAATCTCCATTGTGCTGTGACCTTAAGGCTGTCTTCCTCATGGAGAATTCCCACCCCACCCCTTAAGCCAGCTCCCATGGTTTGAGAGCTTTTTTTGCACTTCTCTGGCCCTTTTACCTGACATGAAGGGGGGCTAGAGCTGGGTGTGGTTTAGCATTATAAATATGCTGTTGGAGGCCTTCCACAGAAAGTAAAATGAGTGTGTGTGTATATGTGGGGGGAGGGGGAGTCTCAGTTCTCTTTCTAATGGAGAAGTGTTGACACACTGACCAAACCATTACACATCAGGTGCATTTTGGTATGGGATGCAGTTTGTTGGGTGTGCAGTAACTAAACGAACATGCAGAATGAACCTTCTCTTGATGTCAGACTTCAATTTCCAAGGCTCCCAGTCCTCTAACATTGGAAATGAAAACTATAAAGACTTTTATGTAGTTTCTAGCACTAATTGTTTGTGACTTCGCAAAGTTTTAGGGTTTGGGGTTTTTTTTTGGCAAGAGAGGGCAGTTTAGTTTGCTTTCAAAGTGCAGATTACTCAGCTGCAAGAGAAACTGTTTCTCCTTTGCTAAGCAAACTTTGAACCACAGTTTATTGAAGTATTAGGAAACATTCTTTTAGTTAACATGAATTATGTCTATAAATAATTAAATTATGCAGAATAACTAGAGTGCTGTTAGATAAAAGCAAAATTTTCTGCTCTAGCACCTGTTGTGTATTTGCTGCATTCTGTTTGTTTACATAGATCATCTTCGGATCTGATGGCAATATTTCTATAAAGGGCTGCTGAAGTACAGAATGTTGTGGTAGGTACTTTACACTAGATTGAAAAAGCTTCTGTAGTTAGAAGGAAAGGTACAGAACACACAGTCTTGTGCCTTTCTCCCCTTTCATGGAATATGCCCGTATAAATACAGAAAAATGCCACTGTGTAATTTCACTGATCCAGTGGCGCTAATAGAGATTTGCATGACTGTAACTGAGAACCGAACTTGGTCCTGAATATTTAGCTTACATGAACATTAAAAAAGCACCAATAATATATGAGGATTGTGAAAGTGTGGCTTTTTCTGAGGCTTGAGGGTTCCATCTGGAGTTTGTTGGTCCAATGGTTTGGTGGCTAGCCTAGGACGCTGGAGACCAGAGGTCAATTCCTGGCTATGCCACAGGCTGCCTGTATGACCTTGAGCCAAAACAAAAAAACCAACCAGACTCCTGTTTCCCTATCTACAAAATGTGCATTCTCTGCCAAGCACTGATGTAGTCAGAGTAAATACATTGAAGACTGAGCACTGCACAGATACTATGGTAATAGAGGCAATGGAAGGCCTATCTAAGAAAGACTGGAAGTTAACTGGCTTTGTGAGCCAGTCTAAGTTAAAAGAAATAGAAGGGCAGTGAGCAGCTCTCCACCTCTCATTTGACAACCTTGCTAGTAGTTTCAGCAGAGGAACTCGGGATTGAAGGGAGATGAAGACTGAACTGCACTCTTCCCCATTCATGGCCGAGGCATATCGGCAAGGGAGAATGGAGTAAACTGCAGTGCAGCTACTTGAGATGTGCAGTGAGTTTCTAAGTTGTCAGTCCAACACCTTTCACAAGCACTGATTCGTTTATTTAAAAAAATTATTAGCCCATGAGCAATTCTGAACCATAAATCTTCAGCAGAAAACTTTCTGATTTACTTGAAGACGACAGATGAGTTTCATAAATCCCAAGCAAGCCTGCAGATAAGACCTGGTAAGTTTTTTATGGTACAACAGAGGGAGGAGGAAACAAAAGTTTCATCAGATTTTG